ACTTAGGAGTCGGACAGGTTGGTTTCGGCTTTGGAACTCTGGAAATTAGATGGTTCTTCTTAACCTATTGGTTTTGTATAGTTTTTGGACTTCTCAGCGGCACATTATATACAATTAAATCTGCCTAGCATCAAAAAGGCTTGTTTTGCTCAACAAATTATGTTGAGTTACGTGTTTACAGTTTTCTATATTGTACTGCAAAATTGGAAACATCAAATGGAGGACCTGTCCTTGCATTTAGGTATCTTGCTTTCATTTGATAGTCATTTTGTGCAATCCGGTATTACTTATATTGCACAATAAATTTTTTTTTAACAAAATAAGATTGAAAAATAAAAAAATAAAAATGGAGATGTTTAATATCAACTACGTAATAAATAAAATTTAGATAAAATTTATATTATATTTTAATCACCATATAGTTTTTATTAATAAAATTCTATTATTCAAATTATAAAATAAAAATCATTTGATAAGAAAGCTCAAAATACTAAAAGGCTCAACTCTCAATAAGATAATTAATGTTTTATAATTTAGATCAATTTGAAATATATATATTTTTATTAAATATTTTGATAGTTTTTAATAGCAAGAGGAACATTTTGATATTTTTTTAATAGCAAAAGGTTGTGATTTTTTGCATCCTCTTAAAAAAAAAAAAGAAAACCACTTTCTTGAATGTAACCACTAACCACCCATCCACGCAAGGAACTAATATTTGAAAAGAAAAGAAAAAGAAAAAAGGGGACAAAAAAGGGACTCTTTGATGCCATGATGTGAAGGTCATGGGTAGGGGAAATGGAATCTAGGGAAGGATGGGTTTGGGTTTGGTAAGGTGACCCGACCCGAACCTGGAATATGAATCGATACTTTGATGTGGATCCGACCCGTATTAACACCCGTACACCCCTCCAGATCCCCAACTTCCCCCTAGCGTCTCTCTCGCTTGTTCTGGAATCCATCCTAGGCACTGTTTGGCCTTCGACCGTCGGGATTCCGCCGGTGACGAATCCATCGGATTGGACCGTGATTCCTCCATCCGACCTGACAAATGACTATATCAGACGACGAAGACGAGATTTTGGCAAATTACCTCGAATCCGAGGTCCTCTCTGCTGATCAGGTAACCATCGTTTCTTCCGCATCTGTAAGCTTAAATTTCTGTTGTAGGCAGAGGAAGTGAAAATTGATTGGATTATTTCTTGTTTCCTGCAGGAAGAGGAGGTGGAGGATGAGCCAAAAGCGAAGAGATTGCGTGTTGAGGAAAACGATAAAGGAGATGCCAGATCAAATTCAGGTAAACTGAATTCGATATCGGATTCAATTCTACAGAACAACGATAACAATGGCAAAATGAGTGTTCCTCGGAGGATTGAAACTGGGATTCTTAGCAAGCTTCCTCCTGAGCTTTTCCCCCATATCCTTAAATTCCTCTCTTCTGAGGTAATCTCGATTCTTTCAGGTCTTTAATTTGCATTGATTTTTTTTTTTTTTTGATGTGCTTGAATTTTGATTTTATTTGTCGTTCAAAGACTCTTTTTCACAAAATGAAATGACAGGACCTTGTATCGTGCTCACTGGTGTGTAGATTCCTAAATTATGCTGCATCTGATGAGTACTTATGGCGCCGCCTGTAAGTTTTTTTTTTTTTTTTTTCATATTTTTGTTTCTGATTTAAAACCGCTTCCTTTTTCTTTCTTATTAAAATTTTTAGCAAAAGAAAAAAAGAAA